GGCTGGCACCTTCATTTTGGACTTCTAGCCTCCAGAACTGTGAGAGAATACATTTCTGTTGTTCTAAGCCACTTAGTTTGTGGTACTTTGTTATAGCAGCCTCAGGAAAGTAATACAGGGGGTCCTCAAAAAGTTCATGGAAAAATTCATATTATCTTTACATTCAATTTTCCACAAACTTTTTGAAGGACCCTCATACAATAGTTTGTATAAACAACAATCTTGGGTAGCTCTTCTCTTGGTGTTGCCCAAAAGGGAGATTAAAATCGGGCCTCCAGCACTCAGTCAATTACAGTCATGCAAGTCATCCTGACAAAAGGGCAGTCACATGGGGGCACCACAGCAGGACTGAGCACAGGGGTCAAAGTGAGTGTGATGCATTCTCTCTGTCCATACCACCCTTGTGTTTGGTGCTGCGTACACCAACCCGCATCCGACTCCTCTCTACCTGCTCTATCTCGCTGGAGATCTCCAGGGCCTCCCTTGCTGCATTCTTTGCCCGCTGGGCGTCAGCAGCAGCACTCCCCAGGGCCGCTTCTGCTTGCTTGGTCTTGTCACTGGCGTCTGCTACCTTCTGGCTGATGTAGGAGAGTCTCTTCATGGCCTCTTCAGCTTCTGCTTTTCTGTCTCCAACCTGCAGGTCAAACTCTGAAACGAAGGAAAAAAAAAATGGCATGAAGATAAAAACAAACTTACAAATGAGTGAAAGGGACTGATGTTTTAAAGAAAAACTCCTGAAGGAGTGTTATTACTGACTGGGGAGGAAGGTGTGGGANCCTCGGCGGGAGCGCCACCACACTTCCCAAGCGGCGCACTGTAGCAGTGCACCACCAGGCCGGCCCGGGACAGATGTTTTAAAGAAAAACTCCTGAAGGAGTGTTATTACTGACTGGGGAGGAAGGTGTGGGAAGTTGTGGCTGGAATGACTCTCATGCAAGAGAAACATCTTAAATGAGGCTTTGAAGAGGCCATAGTTAGTCCTTTGCTTAGAGAAACTGACCGTCAGCCTGCTCTGGGTCCGATCACTGCAAAAGTATCAAGACCCCAAAGTGAATCAGAAGCAGGTAGAATTTTTGAAGCCCAAAGCTTCAAGCCAGAGCCTTAAGCCCCAAGCTGCCAATGACAAGGGCTGGGGTTTGGGTAGAATGTATAGAGAGGTACTTTCCATGAAGAAAATCCCAAGACTTAAGGAATTTTTCTCTCTTGCTCTGTAGTGAAGAAGCCTCCAATGTTAACCAAATCTCTGAGAGGCACAAAACCAAATCTCCTGGGATCTAGATGCAGTGACAAAGGTTTCTCTGCCATCATCACAAAGCAACCATATCAGTTCCATATTGAAACCAAATAGGCTACAAAAGAGAAGGAAACATATCTGTACAGTAGCACTATGTTGGATCTGTGAGGGACCTTAGAGAACACTTAATTCAACCTTTTCCTTTTAAAGAGGAAAAGAAGATATTATGGTCTGGAAAGTCTACATTACCTGCCTGTGGTCACACAGCTAGCTCTGCCTGGTCACATGGGCGAGCAGAGATCAGAACTCAAGCCTCTGACATCTAGTTCAATTCTTTCCACTACATCAAATACTAAGGAGATTTTTTTTCTTTAGAAAGGTGTTTACTAAGCATCTATGAATACCTCAATACACCTATCACCACTTGGAAGGGATATGTAAGG